CCCCGAAGAGGCTGGCACTGCTGCTCCATGGAAACCCTGGCCCTGCGCTATTATAGTGTGGGTGTTGCTGTGGTCTCCATGGAAACTGGCACCAGCCACGCGGTCATGGGCTGCTGGGAAATGGAGTCCATTGCTGGCTGGATCTGGCTCACGGGCCGGACTTTGCCCACCCCTGAAATAGACCCTTGCCTTTTTTTTTTTTTATGTTGCCATACTGCTTATGTCTCCAGAGGAACGCTGAGAAAAATAAATCTTGAAGCAGCAGGGGTTTTGCTTGACTTAAGAATGAGGCATCTCCAAAGGGAAGAAACCAAACTTCTTTGAACTGTGGGAAAAAAATGCTTTACTGTCTATATTATTTTCAGAGATGATCAAGTAAGTGGTCCTGATGGTTGAAAAAAAATTGGGATGGCCTGTCTTATTTGTTAGCATGCATGGCTGGGACTGTTAGTGAAGAAAAGGTAGAAACTCCCCTTTTCCTCATCTATAAAGTGTAACTGTATGATAATTGCTTAAACTCCTTTGTGACATTGAACATTTGAAAGACAACATCTGAAAACAAAACAGGTCTCTGTAAGCCTTCTGCCAGGCACTGGATGGTAGTAACAAGGGCCAGGTTCAGATTCAAGCATTTTATGCAAGCTTTCCATTTTGACTCAAGTCCCCACCCAGAAACCTGGGAAAATTAAATAATTGGATGTTCCAAGGTGACCTGTCTTCTCCACTTACAAGCAACAGTCAACTATAACAGGATTTATTAAAGGGGAAAGGGGACAAACACAGTCCTAAAGAAAACCTTATCTGCTAATAGCTGAAATGACAAACAAGTAACAGTGTATCACAGACAAAACCAGGGGAGCTACTGCTTAGCCTAGTCTCTTGGAAAAGGAAACTCATCCAGGACTGCTGTCAGAGGTTTTAGCACCTATGCCAGTGAAAAGTGGCAAGTGCTGGGTAGGAAGGCCCAGCACAAAGAACTCTGCTATTCCTCACCATCAAATTGCTACTCTACTCTAAATACTTCAGCACCAGCCCTAGCTAAAGTAGCAAAGGAGGGCCTTACTCATATTTGCCACTTCTCCACCATAGGGTACTGTGTTCCTAACCACCCTGAGGGGTTTGCTGTTCTTCACTGCCCGTGCAGGTCACAAATGTTCCATTGCTGGGGGTCATTGCTCCTCTTTTGTTTGCTTATGTAATCTTATTTCTTTTAGATGCTGACCTGCCCAACAGCAAACTTAACACTTTTGGAAGAGGGACTGTGGACACAAAGGCTGCTTGCAGATGTTAAACAAAAGGGAAAAAAACATGCTTTACTGGAACAAGTAGCGTGTTACTTTGACCCAGCTCCACAGTGTCTGTATAGATTGGATGCTTCAGCAGGGCTTTTTTGCAGTCTTATCTAATGGCTGATTCATTCAGCTATTAGATAAAAGAGCCAAAAAAGCCCTGCTAAAGCATCCAATCTATACAGATATTGAGTGACCCAGGTCTAACTAACATGATGCTTTTTCTGGGCATGCTCTAGGCTCAGCACATGAGTGCTCCGTGTTTAAAGTGCCATTTTTTTTAAACATCTGCAAGCAGACAAAGATCTGATCCATCTAGGCCTTTAGTTCAACACTTTATCTACAAACAGTGAAAATAAGTACAAGTAGCCCCTGACTCTCCACACATACATACTAATAAAGGTATGCAGCAAAGGAATACGTAAAATTACCATAACAGAACATGCATGACATAAGCAGGGTTACACTTGTATGGCTCACTACTGTTCTCCACAGAAATAAATGATACAATTGAAATTTAAAAATGCAAGCAGTGCTAGGTAAAGAGGAGCCAAATGGAAATTTCCCATCCTAGCTAGATGCATTTTCCCTATATGTTTTTTATTTGCTGTCCAGAGCTTTAGTGTCTCAAATTATTCAACTTTTTTTAATAATAAGATGTGTATACACAAAAATCTAAGGACAACGCTTCTATATGTCCTTTCTTTGCACCATTGAATTACTTCAGTGTAAGTAAACGTAGTCCTCTTTTCTTTCTACAACATCTTCTTCATGCTCATATTCTACTTCATGCTCATTGCGCGCTTCCTCATACTCGTCTGGTGTTAAAAATCTTTGGAACGCTGGAGTCCTGAGCTGTGTTGATTGGCTGATGGTACCTTTCTGTTCACCGTAATAAATAATACGTATGTGAGGAAAACAGAAGAATGCGTATGTGCTTATTGGAGCTCTAAGCTTGTTTTGATCCATCCGAATGTAGGTTAACTGATTGTTGTTCACTGGATCAATAAAAGGACACATCAAAGTCATGTTTACAACTGGAAAAAGAGTTTAAAAAATATTAGTTAAAATATTGAAGATATTAACTGAGCTCTTTTTTTACATGCTTTGAATTTTCAAAACTGAGAAAAGGACTAGTACCCCACCCACACACACCTACCCACCCACCCACACACACAACTGGTATCCTGTATTGCTAGCATCCTACCCTTTGAATTAAGTTAGAGTTCCATGTAGGGATAAATGGCACAATCATTACAATAGATACTTAAAAAAACAAGTTGAAAGGATAAAAGTATCAAATCAAGTTTTTGCTAGCTTGCAAAAAGTATGTATCTGCAGCTTGCTTTCCAGTTTCATAGCTGTTAGGGGCTGGAAGGGACCTCAGAGATCATTGGGTCCAGCCCCCATGCACTTGAGTTGATTAACAAGTCAGAGCATTTCCTGGGTAGCCTGCCATGATGGAACTGCTCTTGGGCTTTACATGCAGATTATATTTGCCCAGACCAAATGAGAACAGTGTAGGAAACAGAATCTCTAAGAGACAGCAAAGCAAACACTTCCTTGTATCAGCAAGAATGAATACAGTATAGTCCTGTACAACTGGATTCAGTGATAAAAAGAAAATGATACAATAATGCAACAACGATAGTGCCGAAAATGTTGAGGAAAAGGAAATGCTTCTCTTTATTATTAGAGTAATAATCAACATACTTTCAATGTCATTGTCTTCAATGTATAAATGTTGCAGACTTCTAGGAATGTAGAATGTTTGCTTCAGTTTGTTGTGTCCAAGATTGAGTTCTACAAGGTTGGAAAGGTTAAAAACTTTATTTGGGACTTCTTGAAGGTTATTGTTTGACAGTCTTAGAGCAGTAATATTTGGAAGTTTGTTGAAATAGTTTTCTGGAATGTAAGAAATTGAATTATTTTCAAGTGAAAGGTACATAAGTGAAGATGGTAGATCAGGAGGCATGTTCTGTAATCTGTTGTTGCATAGGTTGATCTGCATTAGATTTTTCATATTTGACAATGGTTTTCCTTTAAATTCAGAGTCATCCAGATTGTTGTTGCAGAGATCAAGCATAGTTACATTTACTAATCCTTGTAAAGCATTTGCAGGCAATCTGGAAATTTTATTGAAACCAAGGAGAAGTTGCTCTAGAGAGTTGGGAAGTGGAAATGGAAATTCCTCCAATTCATTATGCTGCAAGTGAAGCTGAACTAGGTTTCCAAGTTTGGCAAAAACACCATAGTCAATCATATGAGAATTAATTTTGTTGTGGCTGAGATTAATTTCTCTCAAGGTAGTAACATTAGCAAATGACTGTGAACTCACAGCTTCAATATTGTTATACTGAAGATAGAGTTGTTGAACATGGATGGGAATAGCTGGTATCACCTTAAGTTTCCGATGATCACAGTACATTGACAATGGAAATGCTGGCAGGCAAAAACATTCTTTGGCACATTTAAGTGGACCAGAAAAGTGAGAAATGTCATAATCTACACTAGGATTAATATGAAAGAGAGATGGGTATTCATCTGGTTCTGGGTCATATTCATCCTCAAAATCATAATCTTCATGCTGACAAAAGACCATAGCAACAAAGAGAAGGGGCATAATTGATAGTTGACTTAGAAACCCCATATTCAGGTTTGCATACAAAACCCTGTTAGGAAGAAAGAGAAAAAAATTATAAATGGATTAAATCAATTTGAAATTGTAATTAGAAAAAAAATCAATATAACTTGTTAAATAATAAAGAAATATTCTTTCTGATAACTTTAACATATACAATTTAGATTAAAAATCATTATTCTTGTTGATTTTTTGCTTTTCAGGTTACCTCCATCTTAACAGATAAGTTAATAAGTGAATGTTGTCTAAAGGTCTTGAAACATGTTTCAATCTTTTTCATATTTGTTTCTGGTCTGAGGCCCAAATCTAGTGCCTATGGTATGTGCTAATATGTACCATAATAAGTGGGGGAGGTGGTATGAATAAGAGCTTAATTCTCTTTTTCTCCACTCAACACATCTACACTTAGGCTAAGTACAGACAGTCAAAAGCCTGAGGCTGAATTGATTAAATCTTTGCAGGTTAGTCTGAATTGTGTAGATTGAACCGATAAGCAAGTAAACAGACATTCATTTTTGATTCTGGAATTGCAGACAGAAGCCTGCAGTGACCCAGGCCAGAAGTCAGGGACTGCTACAGCATACCTCCCTAATCAGCTGGCTTGCCCACCCTGGAAGGGGGAGGGGTGCAGGGAAGCTGCAAAGCATCCTGGGATGCTGGGGGACTGAGTTAACTTGAATCTGGAGGGGATCCAGGACAGAAGTTCAATAGCCTGATTTAACCTAAATCAGTTAAATCTGATACTACATCCATTCCAGTTTATCTTAAACCGGTTTTGGCCTTTTTGGCGAATATATCCTTAGCTATTAATTATTCAAGACAGTCATAGTCTCTCAAGGGTGACAAATGCTAATTTTTGGCAAGATACCTTACAGGTTTCTTTCTTCTAAGTATGAACTTCTTTCTCAGCCTTAACCCTTACCAAGGATGCACCTCAGCTCATGTATGCATGAACCCTCTTGTCTGATCAATATGCATAGACATTTTAAATGGAAATTCTCAGAAATTACCTTTCTTCCATCAAGGCAATGTTCTTCATAAGCGTGAACAGCTATTCACTGGTCTTGTTTAAGTTTCATTTATTGACCAATTATCTCTAATCACATTATGAACATACGAACATGCTTTCACATTAAATCGCATAGAAGATACAAACATAAAAGTGATAAAATCAATGTAGCTTAACATAAGATACAGAGAGAGACCAAGTACAGCTTTAGTAACTCTGATTTGGGAAATTATCTGTACACAGTACCCTGCAAACCCTCAAAACAGTCCTGATTTTGTATGAGTTTGTGAGTTTTATAAATCATTAAGGAGATATAAAAGACAATGCCGTGTGTGTGTGTGTACATGCACATGCCCAAGCACATGTTATCATCTTAGTTGCTTTTAGCTGGTCATTGACTTTTTTTTAATTAAGAAAAGTAACTTTGTACAGGCCAACAGACAGTCAAAGACAGATGTAACTAGCAAGGTTTGCACCCTGAGTAAAACTGTGCCAGAGGCAGAAGATGCTGCTGAGCAATGGAGGGAAGGAGGTGCTGAGCATAGGGTGAGGGGAGGGCAAGAGTCTTAGCTGCTCAGTGCACCAAGCTCAGGGCTCTGCCCCCTGGAATCTGATGAGGCAGATCTGCCTTCTGTACTTCCCAGCTTCTGCAGTACCTTCTCATTTCCTGCTTGCCATTCATTTGGTGTTAATTAGTCTAGTGAGTTTTGGGAGGCTGCCCCTAGAGGCTGGGGTATCCTTTTTAAGTACTTCCCTCTTAGAAAGACAAGGTTCTTTTGGGTAGATGTGATATCTTGTAGTACACCATCTAAAAAGTTGGAAAAAATATTGTTTGCAAGTTTTAAGGCACAAATACCCTTCTTTTAGTACAGGGTTGGGCAATTATTTGGGGCGAAGGGCTGCTTACCCAGTTTTGGAAAGCTGTCAAGGGCTGCATGGGTAGCCCTGCCCCTTGGCAGGTGCCCCGCCCTCTGGTCACCATCTTGGGACTAATGTCCCAATATCTTGGGACCAATGTCCCAGGGCCGGCACCGGTGGGGCCCAGAGCAGGGTGCAGTTTGGCAGGGGTCTGTGGAGCTGGGCTGGGCTGCAACAGCAGGGAGAGGGGGGAGCTGGCCTGGCTCCATAGAGCCCCTGGCAGCTGGGACCCTGTACCCCTGGCGCTGGCCCTGTGCTCCCACGCCCACTCACTCCCAGTGCCCCCCAGCCCCGCTATACAGGCAGGGGGCAGCGTACAGCCCCAAACCCCTGCTCATCAGCAGGGAACGAGCTGATGCTGAGTGTGGGGGGAAAAGCAGCCCCTTGCCTGCCCCATGGCTGGCGCTCCCTGCTGCAGCCGCTCACAGCCCGTACGGGACTGTCCTGAGCAGGCACAGGCAGCCTCATGTGGGCTGTGAGTGGCTGCAGCGCGGGGCATTGGCCACAGGGTGGGGGAAGGGCTGCTTTTCCCCTGCACTCAGCACCAGCTTGTAACCTGCCCCTGCTGCCAGTCTGGGCCTTGCGCCGGCTCCAGGTTCGCCCATTGGGGCAGTGCCGTGACGGCAGCAGCTGCAGCCCCTCCACATGCTGCACTGAGCAGCATTTGCTGCTGCCTGCTCAGAGCTCATGTGCTGGGCAGCACAGGGGCAGCGGTGGCAGCCTTATTGCAGCCTACCGCGGCATGAGCTCTGGGCAGGCAGCAGCTGCAAACGCTGCCCAACATGGCAAGGGGGGGTGGGACGCAGCTGCTGCCGCCGCAGTGCAGTCCTGATGGAGAAGCCCGGAGCTGGTGCAGGGCCAGGTTACAAGCTGGTGCTGAGCACAGGGGGGAAAAATGGCCCTTCGCCCACCCCGTGGCTGGTGCCCCACACTGCAGCCGCTTGCAGCCTGCATGGGGCTGCCTGTGCTTGCTCAGGACAGCCCCGCATGGGCTGCGAGTGGCTGCAGCAGAGAGCACTGGCCATGGGGTGGGGGAGGGCCAATTCTCCCCACGCTCTGGACCAGTTCGTTCCCTGTCCTCCCCCCACCCACTTACCTGAGTTTCCACGTGCTGATGCAGCCACGTGGTCCCAGGCCAGAAGCCCCTCCTGGGGCTTCCAGCTGTGGGAGCAGGACCCAGTGGGTCCTGCTGTTGCAGGAGCCTGCCGGGCTTCCCCTGCTTCCTGTCATCTTTAACAGGAACCAAGGACAGATAAATTTTAATTTTCAAAATTTTTTTAGGGGCCCCATGAGCTGGATAGAATGGCCTCACGGCCTGGATCAGGCTCATGGGCCATATTTTGCCCACCTCTGTTCTAGCATATAGAGAGACTTAGTAAGTCCCTCTTAACAAGTTTCTCTGGGCCTCTTTGTCTGCTGTCAGGTCCTGTGTTCTCCACACAACTTGCTGGGCCCTCAAGCAGCCTGTCATCTCTGCTTCTCTCATTTCCAGTCACCTGACCTGGGGTTCCCTTGACAGAGAGAAGTAGCTTCCTATTGGCTTAACTGGCTCAATTAGCAGGCCTGCTGTTACCCTCTGAGGTGGTCCTGCTTCCCTCAATCAGTTGCCTTTGGCCTCGCTCCTGCAGCCTACTATTTACATGCTGGAGCCTGCAGTTCTTTTAGTCCCGCTGCCTGGGGCCATCCTTTCTAGCAGCATTTAGGCAGCATCCCTTACAATGTTCAGGGGTCTGGCAGCCACTACCCACAGTGCTCTGGGCTTGGTGGCAGTGCTTCTATCTTCCAAAGTAAGGTCTATATTCACTATAGGGCCTTCTTAAAAGTACCATACCCCTTTGGCCTTTACCCTCTCAGTAATGAGCCAGGGTTCCTGTTACACCTGGGGACTTGAAGCTCCCAGCAACTGCACTCTGCTTGTCTCTGCTGTTGCCATGGTGTGGACTCCCTGGGAGAATTGCCATTTTGATGATGCCACTGAGTTGGCACCTGAGGCTGGTGCCTGACTGCCCACCCCTTATTAGTAAATGCAAAAAAAATTTCATCTCTACTTTGTACAGTCACAGACTGATAGTGTACTGCATGAATAAATATTTATTCTATAGATTTCTTAAAACTGTTTAGCTTTATTAATGTTTAACAAGGAGATCTCTTCAGCTGATGCATTTGAAGCAGTGAAAATTTCCCCATTTATTAATACTACAGCACAAATTATATATGTTCAAACTTGGGTGCTTAAGGTTATGGTTATGGTACTTGAGGTGCTTAAGGTTCTGGTACTTGAGTCCACAGTTGGGTACTTAAGTAAGTAGCCTAATTTTAAAGAGTACCCATAACTTATGTGGAAGCAAGTGGTTTGGCATTAGGCAGGTTTAGAAACATGAAGCTTTGGATAACTATTTTGTTAGATAAGGTTTTTAGTCATGATCTGTGTCTCACTATTTATCTACAATTTTATATGGGTTGTAGATGAGCTACATAATTAATTTGTGAGAAACAGCCAAAGTTCCACATTGTCATTCCTATAAAACTTGGAATTCTGTATAGTACTAGTGATTATCTGTCGAGAAGGATGGTGGGGATGGGGCAGGGACGGGGCGGGTGAGGCCAGCACCACACCGCCACCACCTCATGCCACTGCTGCCTCCAAGGGGGGGGGAAGTCTCTCCCCCTATCCCCACCATCATTTTCTCCCCACACTCTGCGTCCGGCTCTGTGCCACCACACCCCACCCCACCCCCCAGTGCTCTGTCCCCATTGTCATGGCAGTGCTCTGTCCCTGCCATCATTATTGATGGGCAATTTGCCCCATGTGCAGCACTGGCTGGAGCCACGCCCCACCAGGAGCCATGCCTCCCAAGAGCATTATGGACGGACAGACAAGTCTGTTAGGTATATAGAATTGTGTCAGTCCTGATACAGCTGGAAGCCAACACTGGATGTTTTCAGGCATTCCAGGAGAGAATATTTCTCATGACTTCAGAAAATGCAAGCAAATAATTAAATTTAGAGATGAAAATTCTAATAAATCATCCAGCCCATCCCATAAAAATTCTGGTTGCTTTTCAACAGCTTTGTCCAATCTATTTTTAAAACTCTTGGAATAT